AAACACAACCATCAGGTCAACCCTCAAGAATCTCTCTCCAGACTGTTAAATTCTAGGGCCCCAATCTATTGCAGCCAGCCTGTTGAACCAGCTGGACCAAAGCCCTAGCTCTAGCAAGCATCAGTGACCAAGCAGGAAGGAAAAAACTCACCCTGGTGCACCTAGGAACAAGGAAATCAGGCACATTGAGCTCCAAGGCTTTACAGCAAACCATCAGAGGAGTGAAGTTCTGGAACAGCCTTCCAAGGGGAGTAGTGGGGGCAAAAGACCTATCCAGCTTCAAGACTAAGCTTGATTAGTTTATGGAGGGGATGGTATAATGGGATAGCCTAAATTTGGCAATTAATTGGTCTTTGACTAGTAGCAGTAAATATGCCCAATGGCTTGTGATGGGATGTTAGATGGGGTGGGATCTGAGTTACTACAGAGAATTCTTTTCTGGGAGTCTGGCTGGTGAGTCTTGCTCACATGCTCAGGGTTTAGCTGATCACTATATTTGGGATCGGGAAGGAATTTTCCTCCAGGGCAGATTGGCAGAGGCCCTGGGGGTTTTTCGCCTTCCTCTGCAGCGTGGGGCACGGGTCACTTGCTGGAAGATTCTCTGCATCTTGAAGTCTTTAAACCATAATTTGAGGACTTCAATGGCTCAGACACAGGTCTGATACAGGAGTGGGTGGGTGAGATTCTGTGGCCTGCGTTGTGCAGGAGGTCAGACGAGATGATCATAATGGTCCCTTCTGACCTTAAAGTCTATGATTCTATTTTAAGCACCATGAGGAAGCTTCACTCAGGGCTGGACCACTGAGGCTCAGCACCAGGAGGCTGAATTTGAACAGCCAGAGACCAGGGCTATTAGAGGGGGAGAGTGCGGGGCCATATGGATCAGGGATACCTTGAGGCAGCAATTTGAAGCTGAAAGCCACTAATTTGTTGCTCTGTACAGCAGTGCAGTGCTTGTAATGCTAGGAGGGGATTGTGATTGGTGCAGACAATGCACTATGAAGGTTTAAGAAAATTTCCTGTTGCTTCGTAGGGATCTGTTTGCTTTCAGTTAATGGAATAAAGATTGCTTTCAAACCAAAACTATTCTTTTATTAAAAAGCAACCACCGGAGGAGAGAGAAACAAACAAACAAAAACATCAGCACTGTGGGGAATGGGTAAAAGGTTACACATCTTGTCTCAAGTAATTTTCCTCCTAACAGAAGATTTATTTTAAAATTTATCAAAATAAATTCCATTAGAAATAGAAATAATTACAGTCCATACTGGGTCTCTCTTCTCGTACATGCTATTTCTCTCACATATTCCCCCACTCTAATTCCTTTGGAGTGAGGTTTTAATTTCAGGATTAACCACCATTTCCGATATAGTAGGAGGGGGCAGGGAGAGAACTAGAAGAAAACCCGAATCATCTTGTAACACTGAAAGTTATCACAGAAGCAGCCTTACACTAATTAACTTCATGTTTAATTTCATTGCTGCTGGTAACAACTTATTCAACTATTACAAAATATAAACCTATAGGGCAGTTTTCTCTTAATTCCCATTTCCACCCAGTGAGCTTTGTGTGAAGTCACATTCTACAATAACCTAGAAGCCTTCCTTTTCTGTGAGTTCATTTCTCCCTGGGTCTTCTCCCAGAAGTGTGGGTGGAAGGGGTCTCTCACTATGTGGGAAGGCTGCATCATGAGAAAAACCACCTGTGCTTCTTTTTCACACTTTCTAATCTTTCAAAGTAGCAGGAGGTGGAGAAGTGATACAAATGCATTAGATTCAAGAGTAAACTAAGAGACCAAACCACAGACGTTGGACTCAGTATTCATACATCCTGCAGTCTGAACTTGGAATCTGATACATTCCCTCATTGGCTACAAATCATTTGCCCAGCATGGAAGTGCTTCTTGTCCAACAAGGCAGCCAGACTGGGACCCATAGGCATGGAATGGCTCTGAAGGAATCAGCTGAAAAAGACAGTTGTTCCCAATTTAATCATGGCATCCTTTAGGAGCGTGATCAATGCCACTTAACTAGTGAGCAGCGTTCTAAAAATAGTTTACCTGGGCCACAGGTCACCATAGCTTCCATCTCTGGGGTGAAAATCAACCACTTGTACCTGCAATTTCTACCTGAGTTCTTGTCAAATCTTTGACCTTACTTCGAGTAATTTTACACTTCTCTGGCATAGAATTCTTCACCAACCACACAACATATCAGTAGTGATAGTGAGGTATAACTCCCCCCAAAATGCCCTTTTATTTCTTTAATCTGGTGGCACAGGTTTAAATTAGGGACTAAATTCAGGTGCGGCTTAGATTCCCTGTAAAACACCAAATGTCAGGTATCTATTAAAAATAGGTTTCTTTCTGCAGCTATATCACACTCAACATGGATTTCATTTTCTATACATTTGCAGCAGCATCTCCCAGGGGTGAGCTGAACAGAAATGTCACTTCCATTTTTCCCATCTCTACCTAGATAGGGATTGCATTTCCCAAATAATAGGCAATACGCACCTGATTAGGAAGGAGATCTCTTCAGGAGCAACCTCCTGTAGAGCCCGTGCCACAACTGCTTTGGGAGCCCAATGCATGGGTATTTTGCTTAGTTCCAAGTCATTCACTAGGGAATCCTCTTCCCAGCCCTTTAGAAAAAATATTGACCTAACCGACTGAACAAGAGAGGGATTGCGATGGTGATGAGGAATAAGGGAATCCCTCTGATTTACCCTGTCTTCTTCTGTTACAGAGGGTGAAATGACATTTTTCCCTATCCCTGCCCTGTTCCTGCTCTTTGTTATAGTTCAATATATTTTAAGTGAGGAAAATGGTAGTAAAAATATCAGCTCTGCAGCACAACCTGAAGCAACATCAGAGCAACTGGGAATGAAACAATTTGTTCCTGAAGGGGGAACTTGATGACTAACAATTGCTTTGAAATGGGGGAACAGTATAACCGTGATGCTCAGGGTTTGTTTAGACTAGAAAAAGTGATGGAGTTTAGGTCAGGTCAAGGGGAAAGCTAATGCCAACCACTGCACCTGGGCTGCATCTGCACTGCAACTATAATTGTCTTTTTACACCAAGATCACTAACTCGGGCAGCCAACACCATGTACAATCCTAGTGGATGTAAGGCACAGGTAGTTTTTGCCTCAGTGTAGCTTGTTGGGATCAAACCTCTCTCCCCCACCTGGAGCTGATGAATGTTCCTGGCTGGAGGGACGCACACTCCTACAACTCAAAAGGAAAGGAGTTGATAGAAAAGATCACAGGATGGACCCCAAAGGTGGTGAGCTGCAAAAGGCAGAAGCAGGCAACTTATCTGGGGGAGCTGAGAGACCACGGTGAAGATGGTACAAAGATCACTCTGTGGGAATTAGCAAATGTGATTTTTTTTAAAAGAAAAAATCTTTGGCTAGCCCTAGTCAAGGCATTTATTACAGTTCTCTCTCATGTGGATCTTCTGATGTCTAATAAGGATTGAGCTCTGATTGAAGCTTTTCCTGCACTCAGAACACATGTAGGGTTTCTCTCCTGTGTGGATTCTACGATGTTTGATGAGGTCAGAGCTATTATTGAAACTTTTCCCACACTCAGAACATGTGTAGGGCGTCTCTCCTGTGTGGATTTTCTGATGTGAGATGAGGGCTGAACTATCAATGAAGCGTTTCCCACACTCGGAGCACCCATAAGGTTTCTCACCTGTGTGGATTTTCCTATGTCTGATAAGGTTTGAGCTCTGATTGAAGCTTTTCCCACACTCAGAACATGTGTAGGGTTTCTCTCCAGTGTGGGTTCTCCAATGTCTGATAAGGGTATAGCTCTGATTGAAGCTTTTCCCGCACTCAGAACACGTGTACGGTCTCTCTCCTCTGTGGATTCTCTGATGTGTGAAAAGGTCTGAGCTCCCACTGAAGCTTTTCCCACACTCATGGCATGTGTAGCATGTCTCTTCCAAGTTGATTCTCTCGCGTGTAATAAGGTCTGAGTGGCTCCTCAAGTTTTCCTCTGGCATCTGCTCGGTCTCACAGGCTTTTGCTTTTTCTGGGAGTGCACAACTCCAGGAAACATTCCCTTTGGATCTTCCTGATAACGTCCCATGTGGTTCTACTTGCTCAGCATCTTCCTGCTGGGGTTTCTCTTCCTCATTGTCACTCACCATCCCAACACCTGATGGGTGACAGAGAGAATCCAGACATAGGTCACTCTCTGTGCCGGAGAGAAAGGAAATCTCAGAGACAGGAATCGAAAAAGGGATGAACAAACCAAAAGATGTGCAGGAGAGATCAAACCTATCAGGAGCTGATTTTCCCCAAACCCTTCCCCAGAGGAGGAAGGGATCAGTTTTGGTCCGCATCTCACCAGAACACTCAGGGGAAAGTGAGATTGGGGAGGGACCTGCTGCCAGTTTTCAGTCAGGATAGGTGGGAAGCCATGAGTGACATCTGCCTAATGATTCCACATCTGCAGGGAACAATCCTGAACTTGGAGAGCTCACAAGGTCTTTGTAGGGCATCCCAAATGTTTCCTGCATTCACAGACAGTTTTTGAGTTGGTTTAACCCAGGGGTAAGCAACCTATGGCACGCGTGAGAGCTGATTTTCAGTGGCACTCACGCTGCCTGGGTCCTGGCCACCGGTCCGGGGAACTCTGCATTTTAATTTAATTTTAAATGAAGCTTCTTAAACATTTTTAAAACCTTATTTACTTTACATACAATAGTTTAGTTATATATTATAGACTTACAGAAAGAGACCTTCTAAAAATGTTAAAATGTATTACTGGCACGCGAAACCTTAAATTAGGGTAAATAAATGAAGACTCGGCACACCACTTCTGAAAGGTTGCCGACCCTGGTTTAACCAATTCCTCACCTGTGCAGGCAGCTCTTGGGAGCACTTCTTTCTCAGAGCCCTGGAGGTCTGGGACCCACGGCTCTTCCCCTCGTTCCAGCTGCGAGATCACATCAGGTTTGGAAACTGGAAACCCTACTCCAGGCAAAGAAAACAAGGGAGAACAGTGGAATTTGTGGGATACTTGTCACAAAGAATATTGCATGGTTTTACCCCCAGCTCATTTTTAGTCAGTAACATCCGAAGACCAGCTTCCTTGGCTCAAAGTGGCAGGAGAGTTGTTATTATAAATCATATTCATTACCTTAGTGCCTAAGGACCAACTAACAGTGGGTCCCGATTGTGCTAGGCAAAGTCCAAACACAGAAGAGTAGATGGCCCATCCCCTGAAGAATTTACAAACTAAATAGACAAGACAGACACAGAATGGGGGAAGGGGTAGAACCCACTGTTAGAATATAGATATTCAGGCCTGCCTGTAAAGCCTATACTTTAAGAACTTAGCTGTATTTTTATCACTTAGCTAGTTACAGGGGTATAAAAACAAAGAATCAAAATCACAGTCCGCCTGTGTATGGGTCTTCTCTCACTAGGATAGTCTGAGGCCTTGTTCTTAGGCTAAGGCCTTTGGCTAAGCAGCAGGGGCAGCCATAAGCCGGGAAGCGTATGGTCACATCCCAAACCAGTCACACTGAAATAAGGTGGTATTGAGTTGTTAGAAAGATGATCCTGTCCTGATAGTGCCCATCACCAGCAGATAAAGAAACAGATCTTAAGATGGTTAAAGAAAACTTAGTTTGATAGCATCCTGTCTGGCAAGAAATCACTTATCAATGGTTGTGGTTTTGAAACTCTCATTTCTGTATTGTTTTATCTTTATGGCCACCATTTTTCTATTGTTAATCTGTCTAGTTCTCTAATTTTTTCTGTCTGCTGTATAATTAATTTTCCTAGGTGTAAGTTAAATTAGGGTAGTGGGATATAATTGGTTAGAGAATTAGGTTACAATATGTTAGGATTGGTTAGTTAAATTTCAGTTAAGGTACAGCTGAGAATATAACTATATAAAATAGAGGGGGAAGGGAAATTGGAATCATGTTTTTTAAGGGGTGGGGGGAAACAGGAACAGGGAACGGAGAACAAGGCTCTGGAGCATCAGAGTTGGGAAGGGAACACTGGGGAACAGAACACTGGGGAACAGACTCTATCGGAGTATAGATATAAGCCCGAATGGTGTGAAGGTCTTTGGAATATGCTTGCTTGGAAACTAACCCCAATAAACATCGCATTATCTGCACTTCAGACTTCTGGTCTTTTGCTGCTTGCTGTCTGCGTGACAAGAACCAGGGAAGCAGGAGGCCCTCTAACAAAACTGACATGACCTGATAACCAACAGGTAAGCCTTTAAGGAAAGTTTTAATACACTTGGGAACTGATCAGGGATTCCCACGAGGACTGATGAGGGGGCCACGGTAAATACACATTTAGATCCTTTTCTTGTTTTATATCCTTTCCCCATCAGGCGCATTGTCATGGATCCATAGGATCTGTGCAATGCCTGGGCTTTTAAACAGTCCTTGGGAAGCCTCTGGCTTCAACACTCCTATTTCAACCTGTGAGCTCTGCCAGCAGGTCCAGCTGAACGACACTCCTCTTCAGAGACTGTTCCTCATTCAATGCACACAGCAATTTTTTGCTGTGACACTGGGCAGACTTTTAAAACATAGCAGGGTTTATTAGTCAATTGAAACACAGCATTGGAAATTCCTTAGATTAGGACAGAGAAGCAAAGAAGACAATGTATTCCATACTGGGCAATGTCCTTGCGCCATTCTGCTGTAGAAAACAGTTTAGTTTCCTTTCACTGTGCCTGTCCATTTGTCTTCGCTCCAGTAGAGCTCCCTGCATCTGCGAGCCCAGTTCTTCCTGCTCCCAAAAACATAACGAGTCCATGTATGCTTCACTCAGCCAAGCTGAGATCCTCCCATGGAACAATTATTCCCTTGTCTCTGTCGGGTATTCCACTGATGTAGGTTGGTCCCAGCTAGTCCTTAATGACCCATTCATATCACCCCATGACAGCTCCGTGACAAAACACCTCATGTCTCCTGCTCCACAATCACAGAGGGAAACTGAGGTGTGTATTGGCATCATAGAAGTATCACCAAAATTCCCACCTCCATATCACACACACACATTGCTCACAGCCCTTGGAGAGAAAGCAAAGCACAGGAACTGGATGTTAGTTCAGTGAACACAGTGGAGGACAAGCTGCAATCCTCAAACCCTGGTCAAAAAGGAGAGACATGTGGGTCCCTACCCATAGAGAGGGCTGTCTAGAGACCTGATACCTGACAGGGCATTCCTTGAGCAGACCATGGAGGCAGGTCAAAGGCTTAGCTACCCCAGAACTGTGACATCGCAAAAGTACATTTTGGGGAATTAGGAAATCTAATGACTCAGGTGTAATGGGAGGGAGAATTAAACTCCCCCAGTGTGTGGAGAAGGCTGGGGAATTAAACACTAAAAATTCAGGAGCAACAGCCTCTAATTCTTCCAGAAAAGGAGAATGTAAGAAACAAGAACTGGGCCACGCAACCTCAGGAGGGACAGGCTCAGAGATCCAAGGAGCCTGGAGGGAAGACAGATTGTGGCTGCTGCAGATGGGGAGAGGGGGGAAAAAGACTCTCTCCAAATTCTAACTCCTGTTGACCCTGATCTGATTTTATGACCTAGTCTCATGTCTTGTGGGCAATTTTATATTCGCTAGAGGTAAAATGTCATTATCAGAGTATTGCTTATTAGCTTGGAACGTGCATGGAGGGGCAAGGAGGTGAACATAAATAAATGGGTTATTAAGTTTGCTACAGTTAAGGGCCTTATATTTGGTTGAGGCTTTGTGGGAGTAGTTATGCTGAAGTCTGGGATTTACCGGAATAGGTCTAAGGAGAGAATCCCAGGTCAGATATTTTGCACCCTGATTTTGAGAGACTAACGAGGAACCACAAACAGGTGCAATATGCCACAGGATTCTGAAAGAAGGAAGTTTGGGGCGGGCTTTAGCAATTAGGTTGCTATGCAGTATCTCAGCAGTTGGATCACATTCATATATTGGAATTATTAATAAATAAGTGATGTAAATCATGAGTATTAATGCTTGATGCTTAATTATGGACTTCCCAAAGGCCACATATGGGTTGGGGCAGCTATTGATATTATTGTAATAAGAGTAAAGGAGCAGATATGATATATAGCCATCCTATTACCATAAGGAAGCGGATAAAATACCTCTCCTAGTTACCATTTTTTCATTTTGTCGGGTCCCCGAGACAGTGTAAACTGAAGCAGGGCCTCCCTTCTGATGGGCTCCCTTGTCCCTTGATCTTTGTTTCCAATGGTGTCCATAACTTGTAAGTATGCACAGTGCAAGACCCTCTTTACTATACTTATCTTAGTCTCATCGTTATGTGTATTGATCCTTGCCTATGATTTAAATTATAACGGTCTGTGTTAAATCAAGTTTCTGTGTGTTTCACTAAATTTCATTTTCTCAATTAACTGAGTAGCCATGTATAAGGGCAAGTTGTACCACTAATACATTTGTGCTCATTTGTGCCTGGGTAGTGGCCCTGCTATGGGAGGTAGGAATGCAGCAAGGACTCAGGATCGGTGGCTGGGGTCGCTGTGCATAGGGATGGGGAGGTTATATTGGGAGGGGGGTAATGAGTGGGAGAGGGAGGTCAAGAGTTAAAATAATAACATTTGAGGAAAAAAGGTATAATGAAGTGGAATTGAACAGAAAGAAAACTGGAGTATAGACTCTAAAGCAACAAGGCTTGGGCAGGGATTCGGGATTAAAGGTCTGGCATCTCCAACAGCTCTAGATCCCCTCTCCTCCCTCCCACTGACCCACCCAGCCCACTTCCTGGGTGCCCTTCCTCCACACTCCCCTCCCGACCTTCCCACTACTCTGAGCCATCACCACCTCCCAGCACCTTGGGAGCTTCTTGTGTTCCCTCCTCGTCTCTCACTACCTCATCCCTCCCTGCTGCTTCTTAGCTCTTAGCCTGCACACACCTTCCCCATGTCCTGGCACCCCAGAATTATCTACTCCATCCCTTCTCCGCCCCTCCCACGGCTCTGTTCTCTCTTCACCCATGGGGTCCTGAATGGCAACATTATACGCTCTCCTATCAAAAGAGCTCATCTGACTGTCACACAAGCCATGCATCAGTCATCGACCTATTTACTCTATTTAGAATTCTACAGGTGGCATATTTTCCTCTTAAAATGAGGAAAAGGCATGAAAGCTCTAGTTATTAATGTATCCAATAAGGATACATTAAATGCAATTTTAAAATGACTGACGGCACCAAAAAGGCACATGTCCAAATATTATTCTAGTGGCTGGGAGATAAACTAAATAAAGGGGGACAAGGAAACTTGTCAAAACTTGTATGACGAATGAAGGTATAAAGTTATTACTACTCAGGTTCTTTAGAGACCCCACAGCTTCTAATAACAGAGGGGACAGGACTCCTTACCCAGCAAGACCACCGTCTCATAGTTCTCCTGCATGACATCCCTGTAGAGGTCTCTCTGAGTGAGGTCCAGCAGAGCCCGCTCTTCCCTGGTGATATACACAGCCACTTCCTCGAAAGTCACCGGCCCCTGAAAGAGCAAGAGTCCAACACTCAGTACCTGCTGCCCCAGTCACAACCCCACTATTCATGGAACAGCAGCACTAGGTAAATGGAAGCTTTGGGAGGCACATGTTAACAGAGTCCCACCCCACCTTGCTTCGAGCAGCCAGGAGGCATCAGAGGGTAGAAAGAGAGAAACTTGTGTCTCCCAGCTGACAGACGGAGGCAGGGTCTTCACATTTATCACATACCTACTAGCCAGAGCTTGATATAGGAGATGAGGCTGTCTCTGGACCCTGCTGGTGGCTCCCTGGTAGGAATCCCAACACTCTCCAAATAAAATATATGGAAGAAAGGGGAAGTCAATAGTAAAGAATATAAGTTAGAAGGTCAGAACTGTAGAAAATTGGTAAGGGAAGCTATCAGAAATCAATGACCAATCAATGAAAATAAGAAGAAAGTTTTTAAAAGTATATTAATCCTAACAATGGTAGTGGTAAATTACTATACAGAAATGGCAGAATTATCAAAAATAATACAGAAGAGGTAAAAGTCTTCAATAAATATTTCTCTCCTGGATTTGGAGAAAAACAGATGATGTACTCATATCATAAGATGTTGACAACGACACACTTTCCATTCCAACAGGACTTCATGAGCTATTAAAGTTAGACATGTTTAAATCAGCGGGTCCAGATAACTTATATCCAAGACTTTTAAAAGACCTAGTGGAGGAGCGTGGTGGACTATTAATGTTGATTTTAATTAGGACTTGGAACACTGGGGAAATTCCAGAAGACTGGAATAAAGCTAATGCTGTACCAATACTAAAAAGTGTAAAAGAGATGACCCAACTAATTACAAGAGTGTCAGTCTGACATCGATACTGGGCAAGATAATGGAGCAGCCGATACTGGATTTCATTAATAAAGAATTAAAGGAGGGTAATATAATTAGTACCCATTAACATAGGTTTAGTGAAAATAGATCCTATCAAACTAACTGGATATCCATATTGGAGGAGATGAAAAGTTTGGTTGCAGCTAATAGTATTGATGTAATATAGCTAGATTTCTGTAAGGCATACGACTTGGTTCAGCACAATATTTTGACTAAAAAACTAGAATGATACAAAATAAACATGGCATACATTAAATAGATTAAAAACTAATTGTAAATGGGGAACCATGGTCGAGTGGATTTATTTCTAGCAGGTTCCCGCAAGGACTGTCCAGTTCCAGTCCCAACTCCTGTGCCTTGAAATTAGGCCCTATCTGACACTACACCCCATATTCATCATAGTGGTATGATAATATTATTAGGACATAATTATGATGCATTTTGTGCAAGATACGTCATGTGTGGTGTCATTGGAAAAGTTATGATTTGCTCAATATGATTATCCTATTTGTGTGCGTGGATCATGTTTGTATCTGAAGTTATCGATATTGACTATGTATCTGTATTTCAAATGTGCTTACTCTGGGTAACACCCACAACTAGTCTTTCAGGTACAACAATGAAGAAGCGAGACAGTGCTGATGGCTCATCAACAAAGACAATGGACCATGCAAGAGCTTAGCACTCAGTGGGGCATGCTAGGGCATGTGACCAGACCACATGACACTGAACGCCATTTTGGTACCTGTATTTTTCCACAAACTGGACTGGGAATTCAGTTTGAAACAAAGGGGTCCCACCATATGGAAAAGGTACATAAGGTGGGGTGTGACATCATCTCTTGGCCTCATTCCCCACACAAGAGAACTTCTGGAAACACCTGAGGAACAAAGACTGAACTGGGGGAAGTGCTGGTCCCAGGGTACAGGGATTTCTAGCTTGTGTATGGAAACTTGGTGGACTGCTTCTATCATCAGTTAGGGTGAGAAATTGCTAATTCAAATTCTATCCATCTAGTATGTTAGGCTTAGTTTGAGTTTTTGGTTATTTGCTAAGTAATCTGCTTTGATCTGTTTGCTATCACTTATAATCTATCTTTCTGTAGTTAATAAACTTGTTTTATGCTTTATCTTAACCAGTGTATTTTGAGTGAAGTGTCTGGGGAAAATCTCAGTTTGGTTAGCGCACAAGCTTGTTGTGCATATCTTTCCCATATCGAGGGGAAGGCAAATTATATTAATGAGCCTACATTATACAGATCCCTGTGCACTATAAGATGGTATAATTTTGGATTTATACTACAGCAGGTGTGCAAGGTTGGGGAGCTGGGAAATTGGCTGTTGTCTTCTATCTGTCCTTGAGTGGCTTAGGTAAAACACTCAGGTAGCTTAGTTGGGTGTATGGCACCAGCTGCTGTCGTGTTGGGTGATAACAGGGCCTGGAGAGGCTGGCTGAATCTCCAGCAAAGCAGTGTGAGAAGGGCCAGCCCAGCTTGAGGGTTAGAGGACACAGCGGTTCTCAGAAGCCCCCCAGACTGCACCCCGCGGGTGACAACCCATCACACCTTAGATTACACATCTCAGCAGGTTTGTCACATCCTGTCCCCTCCCTTTCTCCACCCTAGATATTTCCTGCCTCCCACCACCTCCAGCAGCTCCCCCCTCCTTTACTCCTCTTCCTCCAAGCAGAACCCATCACCAGCTCCCTGATAATCCCTTACCTGAGCCAGCTCCATTGCAGCCATTTCCTTCCCCCTGGGTGGGTCTGGAGTGAAACCTGGATGTTATTCTGTAGCCTGACAGGGCGAGAAGGGCAACGTGAGAGAATTCAGATGGGGCTTTCATCCATTCCACATGCCGATTCCCCCCAGGATTTTTCCCTGCTAATGGACATTCTAGGTTCTGCCACACTGTGAAGCAAAGAGTGACCTTATTCCAGTACAGGCCTAGCCCCCTCCCACCAGGGTGTAACCCTCTGAGACATGGTGAAAACCTCCCAGTAACAGAGTCTCTCTGTTACCCTTATCAAGTTTGTGGACGATACCAAGCTGGGAGGGTTGCAAGTGCTTTGGAAAATAATCTGGACAAACTGGAGAAATGGTCTGAAGTAGATAGGATGAAATTCAATAAGGACAAATGCAAAATACTCCACTTAGGAAGGAACATCAGTTGCACACATACAAAATGGGAAATGACTGCCTAGGAAGGAGTACTGCGGAAAGGGATCTGGGGGTCATAGTGGATCACAAGCTAAATATGAGTCAACAGTGTAAAACTGTTGCAAAAAAAGCAAACGTCATTCTGGGACGTATTAGCAGGAGGATTGCAAGCAAGGCACGAGAAGAAATTCTTCCGCTCTACTCCATGCTGATTAGGCCTCAACTGGAGTATTGTGTCCAGTTCTGGGTGCCACATTTCAGGAAAGACAAATTGGTGAACAAATTGGTGAAAGTCCAAAGAAGAACAACAAAAATGATTGAAGGTCTAGAAAACATGACCTATGAGGGAAGATTGAAAAAATTAGGTTTGTTTAGTCTGGAGAAGAGAAGACTGAGAGGGGACAAGATAACAGTTTTCAAGTACATAAAAGGTTGTTACGTGGAGGGAGAAAAATTGTTCTTTTTAACCTCTGAGGATAGGACAAGAAGTAATAGGCTTAAATTGCAGCAAGGGTGGTTTAGGTTGGACATTAGGAAAAACTTCCTAACTGTCAGAGTGGTTAAGCACTGGAATAAATTGCCTAGGGAGGTTGTGGAATCTCCATCATTAGGGATATTTAAGAGCAAGATGTACAAACACCTGTCAGGGATGGTCTAGATAATACTTAGTCCTGCCTTGAGTGCAGGGGACTGGACTAGATGACCTCTCGAGGTCCCTTCCAGTTTTATGATTCTATGAACCAAAGGCCAGAGAAGAGCAGAATCAAAGGAGTCACTTTGGGGATTCTCCCTGTCATTGTCCCCAAGGCAGCTGTCTCAGGTTTACAAAGTTGTTTGATGCTCCAGCCTTTATACAGTCTCTCCTGCGAGTGCCCCCTTTCATGGGCTGGGCCTAGTTTTAGCTTTTGGCAAGTGTGACCCTGGGGACTCGGAGACTGGGCCTTCTTGCCTCAGCACACCTTGTTTCTTTCTGTGGCTCCCCACTGAGTCCAAATGAGTAGATACTCCTGATAGAGACTGTGAACATAAGAACGGCCCACTGTGGCAGACCAATGGTCCATCTAGCTCAGTGGCCAATGCCAGGTGCTTCAGAGGGAATGAACAGAACAGGTAATCATCAAGTGATCCATCCCCTGTCACCCATTCCCAGCTTCTGGCAAACAGAGGCTAGAGACACCATCCCTGCCCATCCTGCCTGTGACACTGGCAGATGAGGAGTTAGCTCTTGCAAAAGCCCCCATGTCTTAATTGAACATGGACAAACGCATAGCTGGAATCAGTCTGGCTCACCTGTGTTAGTATTGTTAAAACAGGTATTAGAATTATAAGAATGTGTTTAGACTTTATTGAATGGGGGGAGGGATAGCTCAGTGGTTTGAGCATTAGCCTGCTAAACCCAGGGTTGTGAGTATTAGCCTGCTAAACCCAAGGTTGTGAGTTCAATCCTTGAGGGGGCCACTTAGGGATCTGGGGCAAAATCAGTACTTGGTCCTGCTAGTGAAGGCAGGGGGCTGGACTCTATGACCTTTCAAGGTCCCTTCCAGTTCTAGGAGATAAGATATCTCCATTTAAAAAAAAAAAAAAAATGCTTGTGAGTTGCTGCCTGGGTTATATCTGACTAGCTGCATTGTGAGTCTCTGTGGCTCTGTAAATCACCAGACAGGAGAGACACTTTACCTACGTGAAGTGCTGACTGGCAACAGAATGCATTATACCCTGCCTGGCAGGAAAGGTCCATCAACACCAGATAGACTATTATGGGTGTAGTAAGATGAGTCCCTGAGACATAAACCCTTGGTATCAGTGGCCCAGTATGAGGCCTGAACTGAAGTAATGGTCAAGACATTGCGAACATAAAGCAAAGTTAGGCTGTGAGCCAGAGGCAGGCCCTGCTCACAGAAGTTGGCAAGAGCGTATACACATGTAAGTACTAATAAGATGAACGTATACCAGGACGGCACCCACACACATAACAAGGAACAGGCAGACCCAGTCTAAAGACAGTATAAAAGGACAATATGATGGATAGACAATATGATGAATAGACAATATCATGGATAGACTTATTTGTTCGAACCAATCTGCACCATGAGAAAGGCAACATCGTAATACATAGAGGGGCTGTACCTCAGTGCGTTCAACGATGTGAAACCTGTTTGTCCCTGTGTATAAGAATGCATCCCAGAGTGGACGTCTTTGTCTGCCCTAGGGGGCAGTGGAGAGTCCAGCCACTAACTGAGCCGGTCCAGGGGCATATATTCATAGTACGTCCTGTCGAGTCTGCGGGAAACTATTACTGTGCTTCGTTTGACAATAAACCTGGCCGGGTGCCTTCGTACCTTATTGGAGTCTGTGGTCACTGGGGGTTCTCCGGGGTCTGCTGTGTCAGCGATCTGCAGAGCCGGGGCAGCACACAGAGGGAACACACGCACGCAGCCGACTGATATCAACATTGAACAGAGCAGAGCACCACCACACTGGTAGCATCTGACGACACTGGTGACTCCGACCGCTGATCTGGTGAATAAGTGAGCTGTCCGCTGTAGAAACTGCGATCTAACATGACAGAAAACCATGAGCTAGGGAACCCCCTTAGCCCCTCCCTGCAAATCCCCACAGAGTTTAAAAAATATAATGGGGAAGAAACATGTAATGTAATTTGTAAAGGGGCAGAGACTGTAGCCTTAAAATGTAAAATATTGCAAACTATAACCATGGCTGTTAAGTGGTTAAAACAGGACGACACAAAATTGGCAGGGCAAGTATCAGTAACAAAGAAAGAGTTAAAAGACTCAAAAGAAGCTACACAGCCCTGGGACAACCCCTTGCAGGGTGGGGAGCAGCCCAGAGACAACCAGCATGGAAACAGAATAAAACATTGGAAACAGCCGCAAGGAACCTACAAAAAATACATGTGCCATCCCCTGTTATAAATATTTGTGGTCAACAGCAGGCTTCAGGTAGCTCCCCGTGCCTGAAGAATGGGGACAGAAATGGAAAAAGGTGGCCCTAGCAAAATTAAAAGATTAAACTGGGTCCACTGCAGTGCAACCACCACCTTATGATAAAAGCCAGGTTCTGGTAAAACCTAGACTGGTGCCTGTCAGAACAGGACAAATAAGTGCCCAGATGGAAAAAGTAGCACACAATACTTTCACTGAATTGGTAAATCAAATGAAGGAAAAAATGGAACAGTTCACAGAGCACATTAGGAGACAGGAACGGCGACTCGATCGCAGGGGAGTGAATAAAAAAGAATTTCAAAGTAAAAAAATGAAATTAAGTGGGTTAAACACCTAGGATTGATGCATTAACACGTGGAGTTGCCCCAAAACAGTTAACTGCAGCAAAAAAGGGCACTCCTGCCATCCATTTGGCATGCACACAAAAGCAACGGACACTGGGGGAACAAATTCAGGTTTTACAAGAGCAGGTAACTACCCCCACTCTCTTCTCAGAGCCAGGATAAAAACCAGGGGCACAGTTCCCAACTGTGTAGGTTCCCAACTGCTTTGACCCACGGAACCATGCTCATATCTAAAAATACAACCACCTTTGTCAAGTATTTTTACATACCGGTTAAGTTTTTTCCGTTATATGCTTTCTCAGTTTGCTAAACTGGCTGCTGCTGCCTGTACTTTCAAATACCTTGATGCAGTTAATCTCTCTTGGCTCAGGTCTCGCTACCTTCCTAGGTTGCTCTTCACCCCCCCTCCCTCCTTTCCCCCGCCTTTCCTCACTTTGGCTCTCTCTCTTTGTTTAAAAGTTAAAAGTTATAGTTTTTACAGAAACCTCCAAAAAATAAAGCAATTGAAAACAGAACAAAACAAGAAACAAAAAGAAAACAATGTAAAAACTTTACTTTAAATACATCCAGTACATTAATTATTTTAACTCTTCAGGAATGCAACAACTGAAATAATTCCTAATTTTCTTGAAGATAGGGTTGCCAAGCAACCGAAATGCACACTCTGCTTCTAATCCTGATCACTCACTAATATTTGGAACATGGGCTTTTCTTATTTCCATATAGCAGAGTTTTAAAATAATGTTAAATATAAAGTAATGCAAAAATCCTTGTTACCAAATTAATACAATAAATTTGGCAAATATTAATATATTTTTATCATTTGTTGTTAAAAGTTTTCAATAAGGTAATAACTTGTTTATTCAAATGTTTAACCCTTTTAATTTTTTGTTTTTGTTTGCCTTATTTTGTATAGTTATGAATAGAATTCTGGTGCCATTTTTTTTAATTATAAGCTTGTCCTGTATGTCGTGTGCATTGTCCAGTGTTGTATTTTGTGTGTGTCACGTGATTATTTTTTATTATTTTTATTTTATTGCAACAAAAGTCAATTTTATACTCTTTTAAAAATATATGTATGTGTGGTACCACACTATTTTAATATTATGGTTGGGGTATAACCATCATAATATTATTCATACCATTTTTTCCCCCCAAAGTTCAACAAGGTCTCAGTTATAAAAATATGTACATATATTTCTGCCTCAACAAATAATGAAATTGCAAACAAAAATAATTCTCTTTTATTAATCACACTTTTGTTTTGTTTTTTACGTTTTTTTATTTTTTTATTTAAAAAAAATGTAAGGGAAAACCTCAACATTAAGGTATAGATAATATTAACAAAATGTCAATTTCTTGTTTGGGTTTTTATAAACTTGTTTGGGGTTTTTTTTAAACTTGTTTGCACTTTTAAATATAGTTATAAGACTGTGATAGCAAAATGTTTAAAAATAACAATTTATGCATCAAACTAGCCAAACAATTTCAACAGGTTTCCACCTTTGGCTCCCAAACATAACAAAGCATCATGAAAGTTTAATACCCTCAAAGTATTTGCATGGACCTGTATTTAAAATTTATTTTGGTTTAATTTTATAGTTGGTTTAATTTTATACACTTTTCTTTTATGTTATGTTAATGGGAAGCAGTGGTTGTTAAAGTTTGTGCTTCTAAACAGTTAACAAGGGTGAAGTTGGTGTCACAAGCAACCCAACTCTAAAAAGCTTGTTAAAATTATGTTACTAACTCTTTTGCTGAAACAAAGAGAAGGGAGGGAAAGCAATACACCTTCTAATGGAAGATTGTGAGCATCTATTTTAGCCTTTAAGCATTACATTTAGTATAAAAGACTAGTAATGCACCTCAAGTGAAAATGAATGTCTATACAACAATTGCAAAAGTATAGCTTGTGTATAAAAGACTTGTTCCCTATTACATTGTAAACACTAAATTAATCTGTGTATTAAATTTGGGTTACTAAAAACAAGAGAAATGTAAAAAACAAAACAAAAACAAACTATTATATTAACTAACTTAAGAACAAAGACACCAGAAGATATCTGTATACAGTGAAGAAACCCCCAAGCATCAAGAAAAGAAAAATGAAGTACTTTATAAATAAGAGACTGGTCAAATACACCTCTATCTACCATAAATGGACAATTAATTTAACAATCAGCTAAAAACCACTAGATGGACCAGGATAAACTGTCATTTAATTTCAACTTGGTTACTGGGTAAAAACAACTGTATTATTGCTGTACTACTGTATTATCTTTGTACAACATTTACAATGTGCATAACTTTGCTAAACTGTTTAACCAACACACAGGTAAAAATCAACAAATGAATGGCAACAAACAACATGAAGACAAGGAAAAAACAAATTGGTAAAGAAATTAAGTTACACACTAACTACAATTGGGTAAACAAATTCCGTGTTAGTACCCGTCATAATTTGTTAGACAATAAACCTGGCTAGGTGCCTTCGTACCTTATCAGAATCTGTGGTCACTGGGGGTTCTCTCGGGGTATGCTGTGTCAGCGATCTGCAGGGCTGGGGCAGCACACAGAGGGAACACACGCACGCAGCCAACTGATATCAACATTGAACAGAGCAGAGCACCACACCGGTGGCGTCTGACGACAATGGGATGTTAAAGAAGACAAAAGGCTGTTGTTGTGCTCTTGACTTCCCATTAGCTGAGTTTGCAGCTCAGAGCACATGGCAGGAAGGGGATAAAAAATCCCATACAGAGGGAACTGATTATCTGTATGCTGCAAAGTTTCTAGGCATTAGCAAGAGATCCCCAGCTGCTTAGCCTGCGTTAGTCCTAAAGAATATGTAGAGCTTGCTTATTATAGAAGTTTCTATTACCTTTTGAAATTTAAGACTGTAACTCGTCTGCATCTATATGATTACCTGCTTTAACTTTGTAAACAACTCTCGTTTCCTTTTAAATAAATCATAATACAGGTTATTACAGGACTGGCTACAAGCGTGTCTTTGTTGTGAGATTCAGTTGACCTAAGTAAGTGACTGATCCTTTGGGACTGGCAGTAACCTGAACATTGCTGTGATTCGAGGTGTAAGGTAGTGGTTCCCAACCAGGGGACTGGGGACCACAAGCAGGTTTCAGCAGGGCTGCCAAGCAAGGCCAGCATTAGACTCGCCGAGGCCCAGGGCAGAAAGCTGAAGTCCCAGTGCATGGGGCTGAAGTCTGGGGCACTGAGCCCCACCACCCGGGGCTGAAGCCAAAGCCTAAGCAATGTATGGGGCATGGGCCCCCAGGCAGTTGCCCTGCTTCCTACCCCGTAACACCAGCCCTGCTTTTATATGCAGAAAACCAGTTATTGTGGTCCACATGGGCTGTGGAGTTTTTATAGCATCTTGGGGGGGTGGGTGGAGGGGGCTCAGAAAGAAAAAGGTTGAGAACCCCTGGTGTAAGGGACCATCTGTCACAAAGGTGAGCTCACCTCCATAGTGAGATATATGGGATGACCCAAGGGGACTGTCTGTGATTCCATGTTAATGCTGTTACAGTGCCTGAAGCGTTTACACTTCATATTTGGTTGGTGAAATCTGCATATAGACCTCACAACCAATTTGGGGTTTGTGCCTTGCTTCTTACCAGTCTGCCTGAGGCTGGTGCTCATGCTCTCGAGTCACTGAAGACAGCGTTACAGAGACTTACGGGCGCAACACCACCAGCAGCAATTGGCAGCAATGCAGAGCAGGCTTTACAGTGACACAGTGTGGGCCAAATGGTCTATGGACTCAGTCAAGCCCAGTTCTCCGCCAGTGCACATCAGCATCCCGGCAACCTTCTAGGAGGGTCAAGGCTGCAACTCCTTCAGCGATGATGGATCTCCAGGAAAGCATCACCCGCGCCCCATAACCTGCCTTATCTCCTGAGACAGAAGTGAGTGACGGAGGGTGCACAACGGATCCTTGGGGGGGGGGGGGGGGGGGAGGGCGGCGGCAGGGAAAGGGATAACAAAACACACCTTTTGGGGGTCACCCCTCAGGAACTGAAGGTGACAGGCATTGTGGTGGCAGTAAAGGGGAAGGGGAGGGAGTGGGAGCAGCACCCTCAAAGACAATGCTGCCAGTGAGTCACCTCAGCACATCAGGCATGGGGCTGATAGGTGGCCATTCCCTGTGCCTGGGTGCCTGTGAAGGGCTATATAAACCCCACGCTAGCATAGAAAGGGTTAAATTGCTGCTTTAGTCCGGACTGGCCCA